GATGTTTTTACTAACACAAAGCTGTCTGTATCACTGTACAACCCCGATTTGTTTACTAACTTAAAGCTGTCTGTATCATTGTACAACCCCGATTTTTTTACTAACACAAAGCTGTCTGTATCCATGTACAAGACCGCTTTTACCCCCGAGTGTTTGTCTCTTGATGCAAACAACTTATATGGCAAGGCCATGTCTCGATGTTTGTATCTAGATGCAAATAACTTGTATGGCAAGGCAATGTCTCAGTGTTTGCCTCTTGATGCAAATAACTTATATGGCAAGGCCATGTCTCATTGTTTGTCTTTTGATGCAAATAACATAAATGGCAAGGCCATGACTCAGTGTTTGTCTTTTAATGCAAATAACTTATATGGCAAGGCCATGACTCAGTGTTTGTATCTTGATGCAAATAACTTATATGGCAAGGCCATGTTTCAGTGTTTGTCTCTTGTTGCAAATAACTTATATGGCAAGGCAATGACTCAGTGTTTGTCTCTTGTTGCAAATAACTTATATGGCAAGGCAATGACTCAGTGTTTGTCTTTTGGTGCAAATGACTTATATGGCAAGGCCATGACTCAGTGTTTGTCTTTTGGTGCAAATGACTTATATGGCAAGGCCATGTCTCAGTGTTTGTCTCTTGGTGCAAATAACTTATATGGCAAGGCCATGACTCAGTGTTTGTCTTTTGGTGCAAATGACTTATATGGCAAGACCATGACTCAGTGTCTGTCTCTTGGTGCAAATAACTTATATGGCAAGGCAATGACTCAGTGTTTGTCTTTTGGTGCAAATGACTTATATGGCAAGGCCATGGCTCAGTGTCTGTCTCTTGGTGCAAATAACTTATATGGCAAGGCCATGTCTCAGGGTTCGTCTCTTGATGCAAGTAACATATATGGCAAGGCCATGTCTCGGTGTTTGTCTCTTGATGCAAATAACTTATATGGCAAGGCCATGTCTCAGTGTTTGTTTCTTGATGCAAATAACATATATGGCAATGGCATGTATCTTTCCGAACCGAATCCGACCCGATTTTTTTGATATCTGCACACCTCTAGTTTTTAGTTTTGTACCTGGATGATAAGCTAACGGCCTATAATCTCGTCTCGAAAATATCCTGTTAGTATTTCAATCCCACCCGATGCTTCGTTATAAAAAAATCTGGAAGTTTAGTAGCAGTTTTAGTTAGCAAACTTAGTGCATTTTATGATTTTGTTAGCATCCCCCAAAAATGAGGGATTATGGGCTCAACTGGAGATTACTATATATATAAGATATAATAACCTTTAAACATTACCAATTTAATTTTAAACAGTATAATTTAAATTGGCATTCTGTTAATTACGTTTTTTTTACCCGCCCTTATGACAGTGTGGATCCAAATTTTTCAAGATTCGGAACCGACATTTTCTTGGATCCGCACATCACTAATAAGCATGTTACCTATTCTATAGTAATGATTTTACAAATAAAGATATGTTTCGGTATAAACAAATAAAAACATTTGCATTTGTAAGATTTATATTGAAACTTTCAAATGGTTTACAATTTACATTGATAAAATGAGAGGATGGAATCAGACCTACAAAATACAAGATACTTAGCTTCAGACCTACAAAAATACCAAATTTATCAGTCTAAAACATCAATCTTACTAGTTAAGATCAAGTAACAATTTTTCAGACTTGTGTTGTTTCGTTGTTTATATAATGATTTTGGAGTGACTTGTTTTGGCCATGTTTACAGTAGTAAAACATTCATCACACTGCTTAACAAAACTTCTCTTCATTTGCAATGTCAAAACAAAAAAATATACAACAATTAAAGCAATATTTACAACCAAAGAATCTATTCTATATATAATTCAGTTTTAAAAATCTTTGTACAACTAAATCTAGAGTTCTACTGGACCGATTTTATTAACTAATGGGTCGTTGGAACGCTCAATTTGTGTAGAATTTGCAAATAATTATGAAAGTTTGCTTTTGTTATGATTTATGGTGAAATATTTCCAAAAAACATGTTTTCCATAAGAAATACATTGAAAACGGTGTTTTTCACAATTTTTATTTGGGTAAGACTTTTGGCTGCCTTTTTTGAGTGTTTCCAAGAAGTGTATGGTATCAATTTGTAGGAAATTTTATTCTCTTTCAGAATATCACCTTCCACTTTGGTCGATTTCCTCACCCTTTAAAAGTTATTTGCAAAAAAGCTAAGCAACCTCCGAATTTATAGTAATGAGAAAATACTGAGTTAGGGATATTTTTTTTAAACTTTGTACAACTAAATCTAGACTTCTACCGGACCGATTTTGTTAATTAATGGGTAATTGGAAAGCCCAACTCATGTAGATTTGCAAATAATTATGAAAGTGTGATTTTATTAACATTTTGTGGTAAAAAAGTAAAAATTACAAAAATACATTAAAAACTGCTTTTTTCAAGTTTCTGTTTTCAAGTTTCTATTTGTAGCCAGCTTTTGGCTGAATTTATTAAGCGTTTTCAAGAAATGCATAGCAGTTGTTTGTAGTAAATTTTATTCTCTTTCAGAATATAACATTCACTTTGGTTGATTTTCCATCCATTTAAAAGTTATTGGCAATAATCTAAGTGATCTCCAAATTTATAGTGGTGAGGAAATACAGAATTAGTTATATTTTTGTTAAACTTTGTACAACTAAATCCAGACTTCTACCGGACCGATTTTGTTACTTAATGGGTCGTTGGAAAGCCTAATTTGTGTAGATTTGCAAATAATTATGAAAGTTTGATTTTATTACATATTTGAGGTAAAACAATGAAAATAAACAATATTACATTTAAAATGCCTTTTTTTTCTAAGTTTATATTTCCAGACATCTTTAGGCTGCCTTTATTGAGTATTTTCCAAAAATGCATAATAGTAATTTGTAGGAAATTTTATTCTCTATCAGAATATTACCTTCCACTTTGGTCGATTTCCTCACCATTTCAGAGTTATTTGCAAAAACGTTAAGCAACCTCCCAATTTATAATGGTGAGAAAATACTGAACTAAAGATTTTGTACAATTAAATCTACAGTTCTGCTGAACCGATTTTATTAATTAATAGGTCATTGGAAAGCCTAATTCGTGTAGACTTTCAAATAATTACGAATGTTTGATTTTTTTGATTTACTAGGTGGTGAAACCCGTCAAAGTCTGACAGTTGCTGTTGAGGTTGCAAGAAAGACCGTTTGACTATAAATCGATGATAAAGAACTGCATTTTTTTTATTATTTGGGTTGTTCGTGATTTAGCAGTGTGCTTTAGGTACGTCCGATCTTAATAATCAATAATTAAAATGGAAGCTGGTATTTCACTGAAGGTTCTTAGGTTAAAACAAATAGAATAACGTAATTAGAATTGAGTAAATATATCTAAAACTAAATTCCATATCCAAGATATAATTAAATTTATGTTTTCTGCGATTCAGGATATCTTTCTTTAACTTAACCGATTAAAACTATCAATATCTCAAGTGAAAGCCTTTGAAGTATTTTAAGACCAAGACATATAAAATAACTTACATAAAAGTTGAGTTACATATCTTAGATTGCAGATAAGTACCTAAACGATTATAATTATTGTTGATTCGTGATTCAGCAGTGTGCTTTAGGTAGGATTATTAAGATTGGAATCTTAATAATCAATAGCTCAAATGAAAGCTGGTATTTCATTAAAGGTTTTTAGACCGAAACATTTAGGGTTATGTAATTAGAACTGCTGGAATACATCTTTAATTGAAGTAAAATATCAAATTTATATTTTTTCGCTGAGTAATACATTAGATAAATTAATAATGATGCTTGATGACAAATATATGCTTGCATAGCTTAATTATTTAAGACCAAAATTATGAAAATCAGGCTGGTAGAAGAGCCAAACGAACTCGAAAAAAAATTAAACTCCCATAAGAAATGTACAGGGACGCATTTTGAGCATAACTCGAAATATACGTCAAAATGAATGCTGATGATTGATGGCAAATCTGTGGTGCGTCCATACCTTTAGTTTAAGGCCAAAATTATGAAAATCGGTCGGGTAGAAGACCTTTAACCCAACTCAGAAAAGAAAACCAATAATTTTTATAGATGGCAATAATTTGTTTACCAGTATGCTTAATCTAAACATACGAAACATGTGTTAATAATTTAACAGCTTATTGTTAAATTGTTATTTAATTGATTTTTCTTTGATTAAATGTTGTTGTTAACAATTTGCATTTGTGTTTAAAGTGAGTTCCTTATGTTAAGTATGCGATTCTAATGTTATGTGCTTAATCTGTACCATTAATATTAGTGAGTAAAGTGATGTATGGATTTCACAACCATTATTGTACTAGAGACCGTTGTATTTAACCACAACGGGCTCTGTAGCTAGTTAATTAAATAAGAACGCCTTTGCAAAGGAAACGCAATAATGCGCTGCTGCATTGCGGGTATTGCATTGACTTTTTGCAGGCGTTTTTCGTGTATGGATAGTGACTCCCTCATGAATCGAATCGTTTATTGATCACCACTGAATTGAATCACCATGGAATTTCGATGCATCGCACATCCCTACTTGAAAGGCAATTCCTATATTAGCACCATAAAAAAGACTACAAAAACATGTAATTGGATCTTAAAACTTAGAACTTTAAATATTAGCACAGTCATTTGTAAGTTTTGGAACACTAAACATGACCATTTTGTTAATTTTCTTTGGAGGATTTATGCTACCAACAATCTCTTTCCAAGAGTATTGAATTTCGTCCATGTTTTCAGTCCACTTCCAATTTCCTTTAGCCGTTTATGAAATCGATTCTCATTCTAATTACATAGATTCCATTGAGTTAAAAACTCATGTTGTTTCAGGATTACTGTTGTTGGATTATAAAAGGTATAATGTTACCTGGATCTGCCAGAGTACTCGGTAATCCAATGGTTGGTAAAAATGAGTATTGAATTATATATTTGGGATGTTTATCTGTTTCAGAATGAGACTCCAAGAAATTTTGTGGATACTGTTAACCAGTGACATAAAGTTCTGCAAGCAAGAGAATGTAGAACAACACTTCTGGAAGATTCTGTACTATGGACTGCTTGAGTGGTTCCGGAAACAAATGTCCTCGGCCCCTCACATGAAGGAGGCCTTCATGACACCCATGTTGAACATCATTGACGAGGTGTGTAGCAAATAAATAATTATACAGTCTCTTTTTCTGCTACTATGCATAACCACATTTTATAATAGGTTTTAAATTTATATTTTTGGTTATACATCATGATGTTATTTTAATTTTTTATGAAGAATTTTAATTGTTTGGACAAACAGTATTACTTTTATAATTAATTTTTTCCAGCAACCACCGTTTAAGTTGTTTTTCCTACCTATTTTTAAATGTATTAATGATATGTTGATCAATCCTAGATCTAGTGTCAGCCAAGAAACCAATAGAAATGTCTGTCTTTAGCAAATCACCTAGCTAAGTATCTCTTCTCTCTTCTTCCACTCTTAGGGGAATCTATCAAAGATGTAAACAACTCGCCCAAACCCCACCGCCAATATAACCTACGACCAACATAGTGGCTCTGAAGAGTCCAGACCAGGGGTGTGCAATGTATTAAAAATGAATCTAAATTTTGATTTGATTGCAATCAAAATAATGATTCAATTCATGCGGAAAGGGACTGATTATAAGGCATACTCTGAGACATTACGTTGCCGTATAAGATATTTACATTGCATAGTCATATAAGTTATTTTTCAATCAAAGTACATTGAATAATAAGATTCTGAGTTATTAATAAGTTTTGGGATACATTATCAATGTAATTCTTCTTTACCTCATTGAAATGAGCTACTACTTGAGTAATACCTCCTCATATTCCTTTCTCTATGAGTATAAATTGCTTGGCAAATCATTTAACAGCAATGTTTAAAACACAAACATGCAATCACGGCACAGATAAATCTGTAATATACAGATAAACCGTTGAAACCCACAGCCACACTTTTGTCCTTAGCAATCGACTGATCAAATTACAATTTTTTTACTATGTAGGGTAGTGGTGTGCAATGCATTAAAAATGCATCAACATTTTGATTTGATTCAGCATGCATCTAAATACCCATGCATCGATTAAGTCTCGATGTATCGATGTGATCACAAAGCCAACAATATAAAAATCGAAATAAAGTTATATCATAATGTAAAATAAACTCACTTTTATTGAATACTGGTCAATCATATTAACAATTGCTTTAATATAGGCTTGTTCAAATTGTTAGTGAAGTCTGGATTTTCTTAGGCATAAAATCAGCAGTGTCCAGCTGCAGGAGGTTAGGTCAGCAACCTATCCTCTTGTTCACAAACAATTTTATTCAGTAGGCCTACATTTTTTTACATTAATATTATTAAAGGTAAATGAATCATTACAGTAACGCAAGTTGTAAATAACTTTGAGATAAAATCCTGCGGCTGTATCAAATCCAATCGCACCTATTAAAATTGAAATCCTTTGAATCGCATTGATGCATCGAATAATAAAAAATAAAAAAATGCTGCATTGGACACCCATAAAGTGGGGTTTTAGTGATGTTTTAAAACTGAATCTCAAATCCCCAAACCACAAAAACTTGAGATTCAACTGTTGAATTTTGAGATTCAACATTCAGAAACCAACACTGCCAAATAAAAAATTAGTTTTTCAAAGTTTTAAGTGTATTGATCTAGTATTCATGTTCTTATCAGGGTCACAAGTCCAAGTTTTTTCAGTTCTGATTGCATAGTAAACACTTTATTACTACCTGTGTATTTGCAACCTTAACCAGGTAAGTTAAAAAGCTATTAGCGTTTTGGTTTTGTGGTTCGAGATTTGATTTTTAGGTTGCGGTTTTGAAATTCAATATTTCTGGTTTCGACCTTCACTAGTGGGTTTGATAAAAAATAGTGTCTGTATGACGTACTTACCAACCCACCTCTATAAAACAACAAACACTAACATAATCATATCCAACCTTACTGTACTCATCTAAGTGTCAACAGGGAACGGAAACACTCCTTAGTGAATTCCTCAACCTACAAAATTGTTGTATTTTTAGCTATATCTCTCTTAACTGTTAAGTAATGGTTTGTAAGTTAGTAACAACAAATGGTATGTGTTTGTTTATGTTTTGTTACCTTTGTCAATATTCATGACTGTTGATTTCAGGGAATGAAGTACTTTGAAGACACGTTGAGAGTTCTGGAAGATTGTTATCAGTTCAAACTAGATGATCACCTTGTGACTGGCTCCAGTCAAGCTAAAGGCAAACCTGTGTCACTGGCACTGGTGAGTGCTCAGAAGATTCTGCTTTTCCTGGGAGACCTAGCACGGTACAGAGAACAGGTGCAAGACACAGCAAACTATGGACTGGCTAGACAGTAAGTGGAATTTATTTGATCATATTGTGGTTAGTGGTGAAAGCGAAAGGTCTCGCAAAACATGGTGAATGAAGTGTTGGAAGGTTTGACCTGCATTCTTTAATCCAAATGGCATGTGTAAAAACTCAAACAAACCAAAGGTAGTAATAACAGCTGTTTTAGGTACATCATCTGAATGAACAGGAATGTGGTGGTAGGCTTTGACAAGATCTATTTTAGAAAATACTAGCTGAACCCGGCAGACGTTGTCTTGCCTTTGACTATTTATAATTTAAGTACCGTAACGTTTAATTGTCTTTTGTATATGAAGTGCTTATAACTAAATTAAAATACGTACGACAACTAATGAAACACATATAGTAAAAAGGATAACCGATTCTTTATTATTGCTCTTATATTAATGCTAGTGGGTAGACAATATTTTTGGTCTTTCTATTCGGCTCAATCACGTCCTGGTTGAAGTTCGTTCGCTACGCTCACTCACCTTTAGGTTGGAGCTCGTTCGCTATGCTCACTCACCTTTAGGTTGGAGCTCGTTCGCTATGCTCACTCACCTTTAGGTTGGAGCTCATTCGTTGCGCTCACTTGCCTTCAGGTTAGCTCATTCGCTACGCTCACTTGCCTTCAGGTTAGCTCGTTCACTACACTAACTCGCCTCCAGGTTGAAGTTCGTTCGCTATGCTCACTCACCTTTTGGTTGCAAATTAGCTGTTGTCATAAATTAATGTAAAAGAAATAATAGCGCTGCACCCTGTTGGTAATCCTTGTAACTTTAATGCTATTGAACATCATATAACAGAACCAACTTGTTTAATTGAAACAGCTGTTAAGATTCATTAATTCCATTTCTCATAAGGTTAACATGGGAAACTCCAGAGCCACTGGGGGGGAGCCGATTGGACGGATCACGAAATTGATGGTGTATAAACCTATTCCATGAAATTCTACACGTATATACCAAGTTTCGTGGCAATCGGTTCAGCGGTGTCTGAGTTTATCACTGCCAAACAAATATATATATATATATATATATATATATATATATATATAGAAACGTCCTCTTTTATACTTATAGATTGTTTTGCCTTCAAGCTGTGTGTTGAAGTGTAGGTCTGATTCTAATTGTAAAGATCTAGTGTGTATTGTAAAGATTCTTTTCTTCTTATTGTAAAGGTGTGAACCAATTGAAAGTTTCAGTATAAATCAAGATTTTTATTTGTTCACACCAAAACATATCTTAAGTTATAAAATCAATGATATAAAAAAATAGGGCAACATGCTTAAAACAATATGATGCTGCAGATAAAAATTATGAAATAAGCAAGCAATTCCCTGACATTTCCAGTAATACAGGCCTTCTAATTAATGATTGAAAATAAATATTTTTTACCTTTCAGTCATACCTATACCATAAGTTATATTTATGTGTACATATAGGTCAAATAAATACCACACCAAAAACCATTTGCAGAACACAAATCTGGTAAATTTTAATTGACAAGTATGTACAGAAAAATTCCATGTTGCTTCGAATCAAAATGCCTTGATTCAAATATAAAATTATTTGAATCGAATCGTTGCTTTGAATCAAACAGTTTTTGCTGCTTCACACACCCCTACAAAACTGATATTAAAACTTTTGCAGTTTCAATTTTTCCATTGGACAAAATGATCTTTTTGTAATCATAAAAAAACCATGAGATAACTCTAAAACCATTAGAAGACATTTAAGTTAAGTTTACTGTTGTTGACGCTCATTTAATTACTGTTTATGTTTTCTAGTGTAAATATCTCATTCTCAATGTGTTGTTTTAATTATTAAACAACAAAATTTTGCAGGTGGTACATGAAGGCTCAACAGTTAAACCCAAAAAATGGACGCCCGTATTATCAGCTAGCAATACTGGCTATGTGTGTTGTAAGTTTTCATTATAAGTTTTCAATTAAGGATCATTCAGAGTTTCATATGATTATATGAAACTTTGAATTCATTATCAACGTGCTTAAAATCAATTTGAATACTTTTTCTTTTACAAGTTTGAGCTCCAGACAAAAACTTGAATTCATTACAGTAGACTCCCTCTTATCCGGACACCTTTTAACCGGACATCGGTTTAACCGGACTAGATCGGCAGGAAGTGGGTGGTACTGAAACAACTGTTCTCTTGGGAAAGATTTGAGACCAGTGATCACGTGTCTAAATTCTATGCTCTCCTAAATTTAAGTCGAATATCACAGTAAAGGTCCGTTTTAACAAGTGTTTGGGGACGTTGGTTATCCGGACTGGCCTCGGTCCGGATAAGAGGACCGGATAAGAAGGAGTCTACTGTATCTGGATCGCCTGAAATTCTTGATAACTTTTTTGCGTTGGACCAATTACAGGGCATTGGATTACCCTTAGTAAAAATTTTTCTAATTAAATTAAGACAGAATGAATATTGTCCTCTAAAAATTTCACCATTACACTTCTGTTTTCTATAGATTTTATTGGCCTTTTGATTAAACTAAGTTTCCTCGGATAACCGGGCTTCGGATAATCTACACTCTACTGTAGAAAGATTCAACTTTAAACGTTGGCGGGTTTAAAATAACTTATTATGAATAATCACCTTCATTTTCCTCAAAAAATCTTCTTAATATAAGATCAATTTCAGGGGTTTTTTTAAATAGCCAAACCCTTGGAATACCCACAGAGAAGTAAGATACAGAGGATGCATTCAATGGTACACTTAAATAGTGTCTAGCACCAGTTCTATTCGTCGTTCCCTTCTGCTCTCCTTTCCCCCTTTGCCATCACGTACTACAGCTCAGACTGTAGGATGAACTTGTGCGCTACAACTGCTGTGTATAAATTCTATTTGGCCATCGCCGTTCAGGCTCTTCCTTGCTCAGTACAGGAACATTTCCACCCCACCATATCAGAACGAAATGTGCACGGTTGTCCCATAAGCTTGTATCCTCTGTATCTTATTACTTTGTGAAATACCTTAAGCTACAGCATCAAATCTATATTTTTAAATGATTTTTACAAAGGGGCCTTGGAATCAATAACATCAATTAGCTTTGTTTTTTGTGCTTCCTTTTTTTTAAAAAAATCAACTCTTTATTTTCGTTGTTGTTATTATATTATAATTATATTTATATTTCTAAAGTTTAAAGACATGCTGTGACAAAAATATTTACAAAATCAGTGGTCCGCAAGTGTGGAGTTTATTTCCTATGAAATAACAAATAGAAACATAAAATGCCACCACTATTAAGCAGCTGTTATATTACATTCTATGATTGATTTGTTTCAGACAAGAAAGTTTGATGCTATTTACTACTATATGAGAAGTTTGATAGCGGCCACCCCAGTCGTGTCTGCAAAAGAGAGTCTACTTACATTGTTTGATGAAAATCGCAAAAAGGTGAGTGGTATAAACAACTCTATACAGTATATGTTAGGTTACATATAGTCATCAAATGCTAATATTAAAATTACTGTTAGTAGTCTGAGTGCAGTTATTGCTTCCTTTATAACAAGCCCACCTCTTACATTTTAGGTTCAAATAATTTCAATAGGATCTAATAAAATAACATGGGGAAACTTTGTAGCCTCAGAATTTTACATGTGTCAAGTAAGACAGGAGGGGAACCATCCATATTTTTCTGACCTCTTTGTTAAAATTTCCCATACCATCACAGTACAACCCTTTTAACTACACCCCGTTAAATCTAAACCTTGGTTAACCAAAACCATAATAAGTTATTTAATCCAATGGCTAGGCAACAGGAATTGTCTGCTGTAATGTGAGTAGTTGGTGGAATGTAATGAAACAATCAAACATTTAGATCTCATACAGTGATTAAAATGAAGTTCATAAAACAACTTTTGATTATTTATAAAATATATTTTGTGTATACATGTTTGGATCCTAAAATCAGAGCAATTAAAACAGCATTCAAAACTACTGCTGTAGTTGTAATTTAGATCTCTTTGCTTTGAACATACTTAGCCTTTAAATATTCCTACCATTGATAATCCGGAAAAATAAGTCATTCAAACAGCCTCACACGCTTTATTTCGGGTTCATCAAGATTTTACTGTATTCATGTTTTATCACCTCTTACACCTCATTTTACATCAAAATACTAGATTTTGAGCTGGAATTCAATGTTATCGGGTAATTGTTAGATAGTTATAGTTAGTTATGGTTCACTTAGATAAAGCATAACATTACTTTAAACAGTACGATTCATCAGGAAGTATTTCAGTCTTAAGGTCAATATTTTTAACTAAAAAGTAGGCTTTACCTTCTTCAAGCAGCTCAACTTTTGTAATTGTTGGTTACAGCCGTTTCAGCATCATATTGCTATCATCAGTCATGAATCTCGACACATAACACACACAAATATTTACGATACATTTGAAAATTACAAAAATGATCAGGCCTGTTGCACAAACGGTTCTGGTTGAAATTTTCACGTTCCGAGCAAGATGCCGACTGGAGGATTCCTACGTCGTTCCCGGTGTGGTGACATTATCAGCTGAACTTTGTACTCCTGGCTTCGGATTTCTTAAAAAAATGCTATTGATCCAATAGATTAAAAAGGGTATTGAATATAAAATGTAACTTGTACTGTTGTTTAATCGTTCAAATTATTTTCAGTATAAGCTTTGTGAATTTCATACTCTTCCAGGGTATCCAAACAATTGCCTTTCTTACTTGTTTGGAGTATTACATATTTCTAAGCCAGTGTTCAGGTTAGGGATGGTCAAGTCTCGAAATTTCGGGAAATTTTCAATCTCGTTACACGAGACGAGATTTCTTTTTGGCCAAGATTTTTATCAAGACAAGAATAAAAAAAAAAAAAAAAAAAAAAAAAATTAAAAACGCCTGTCGAAAGTCAATGCAATACCCGCAATACAGGAGCGTGTTGTAGTTGCGTTTCCTTTGCGAAGGCGTTCTTATTTAATTAATTCTTTAAATGTAAATATTACTTTAATTATTTTTATAATATTACTTTAATAACATTTGAGAAGTTTTGTTAAGTGTAAGCAGTGTGAGGAATGTTTTATTACTACAAAATTAAAAAGTCAAAACAAGTAACTATTTTATAAAAATTAATATTGCTTTTATTTTATGATTTATTTTATTTTAGGATAAGTTGAACTCTATCCTAACTGATATCACTATGTTTCCTAATCGTAGGCATTTTTAATAAGTTAGGCGTGATTAATAAAAAAATGTTATGCTGATGTTTTTTAATAAAAGATTGTAAATATTCTTGCCTATTATCATTATTTTTGTATTTAAACAGTCATCTAACAATGTTACAAAATCAGGTAAAAATTTTGAACGTGCATTTCCTGTTGTGTATGAGAAGGGAAATCCCGTCTCGATCTCGTCTCGAAATTTTATGAGAAATAAAAAATCTCGTCTCGTCTCGTCTCGAACTAAAAATCCAATCTCGTCCATCCCTAGTTCAGGTCATTCATATATAGTGATTTTTGTCAAACAAATGTTGTGCAAAGGATGACTTTTGTTTGTCGGCTCTAGGAAATGGATGGTGCTCTTTGTATCTAGTTTTGAATGAACATGCAGTTTTTCCTATGGAGAAGCTCAGGAAATTTGCAATTTATTTTTTTTATAACACCTGACTTTTTGCCTTTGTTACCTAGATGGAACTTAACTTGAAACATTCAGTTTTTTTGTGAAATTCCCATATAGGGAAGCTATTACCGTAGGTCTCATGGTAAGACCTGGATCTGAGACCGATTTACTTTTTTATTTTGATGTCCCCAGAGGCCAAAAACACCATTCAAACTCCGTTCAAATTCTTCTTCTTAAAATAAAAAATAAACCATAGTGTTATAACTTAATAAACTTTTAAACATATATTTAACCCGTGAAACTATGCTTAAGGCAAAACTTTACATTACACACACTAAAGGCCCCATTTCATTAAGTGTTAAACCATGTCAAACCTAAATAACATGCATTTGATATAGGAAAATTAGGTTTTGTGTATTTACGTAAAAACTAAAAGAGATACAAAATAAGTGTAAATTACAAAGTTGTTAGGAATTAAAATACCCCCGCCGCAGCAAACCTGCCGACTAAGCGAATTTCCATTTGTCGGAATTGATTTTCAATTAAATCTATTTAAATAACATTAGGTTTAACGAGTCCCTAGGTTTGCTGCTACAAGGAAACTGTTGAAGTGGGGTTTTTAGTAAAATATTAATAGTTTAGTATAAAATAAATAAATTTGCCAAGTTTTATCAAAACATATCCATAAACAAGCAAACTACAACATTTTACAATATTCTCCATAAGAATAACATGGGAATTTTAAATTTACAATTTTTTGAATTTTCTCCGTTACCAATAACCGTACAAAAACAATTTGATATACTAAATTATTTGTTTTTTAAAGCTCTTTAAAAAGGTCTAGAGATAAATTGGGATATTTTGTGTTTTGAGGGTCAAAAATGATAAAAACAATTTTTTACCCCATAAAACCCCCCGTAAAAAGCCGTTCCCATGGTCCGATCATGCTGGTTCGCGAACTCATTCAAGTTTATCCCGCCTTACACCTTTCAACCAAATTTCATCAAAATCGGACAAAAATTACTCAAGTTATCGCGTTCACGGACGTATATATATATATACATACATATACATATATAAAAATTTGAACGAATGGTGTTTTTGGCTTCTGGGGATATCAAAATGAAAAAGTAAATCGGTCCCGGGCCTAGGTCTTACCGTGCCACCTACGGTAATAGCTACTTCCCTATAGGGAAATTCGCTAAAACCTATAAAACGATGTGCCACTTGACACATGTTGCTATTTAAAAATTTTTAACAATGGGCATTTGCAAATTTTAAAAAATAAATTTTGTTGGAATTTCTATCATTTCAAAAAACCGTTACTTGTTGCATATCAAAGTTAAGCTAATTTCATAACGAATAAGAAAATTCAACCGGAGAAGGGCTAAATGCATTAGTATAGGAAACACAAAGTATTAAAAAAATACTTCCGCCATTTTGAAACGGAAAAAAATAACTAATTTCTGTTTTCGCCAAAACGTTTGTCTATAAAATACCTTTAAAATTATATAAAACATGACATATGTTTATACAGTAGAGTCCCGTAAACTTGGCACTCGATAACCCGGCAGTCTGGATAACTCGGCCATCGCCTGGCTCAGAAAATTGGGTGTAGGCACATGACCGAGGCTGTAATCCTCTTAATCACGGTCGGTTGACCTGTCAGTTCTAGGTTGGTGTCGAACGCTTCTGCATCATACCATGCATAGCCGAACTGTTAGCGGCAAATTTTTAGCCCTACCACCGTCGCTGTCAAAACGTATGGTTTGTAGGTTAAATTTAAATTTAATTTAACTGTCATAACCTAACCAAAAATTACCATCATTACCAAACTAAAAATAGTTCTGTTCATAAAATAAAATTATAAATGCCTAAAATTAATTTTTTTTATTATAAAATTAAACTATCATAACTTAACCAAACCAACCAAACTTGCTGATAGTGAAAAAATTGAATAAAGGTTTACTAATCGAAAAATAGTACTGATAATAAAATTATAAATTCTAACAAAAGATGTACAGTTAAGAAGTAATCGCGTTCTGAGCGAAATCTTTGACAGAAAGTTAACGCCTCCGGTAGGATTCAGAACTTCCCCATCCCTCCTCCCGTGACCACTACCCTTAGGCCATAAATCAGGGGATTAACCCAAACAAAGATCTGGGCCGTTGTCCGTCTCCCCAGAAAATTCATGATTTTTTTAGTCCAAGTTAAATGTGGACTCCATCCAGATCAAGCCAAATCATTCGCAACTCATACCAAGGATTTTTTGAACTGTATCTGACGACTTAATACTGACTTGTAATATAAATGTAAATAAAAAAGGCGGTTAAAAAAACTTTAAAATTGTATTGCTCTTATTTTTAACCCTAGTTCCTGATAACCGGCATTTCACAAACCCGGCACTCTTCCAGTCCACATTACGCCGAGTTTGCGGGACTCTACTGTATTTGAAAATTCCGAGATTTGAACTAGTGACCCTAAGTTTTTGGCACACCCTGTATTGGGAAAAATATTTTAACGTTATTCCTTGGGGTCGATTTAGCGGGAAAATTTTATTTCATCCTTGTACGTTAAGCCGTTTTTCCGTAATCAATTTGAGACACCTCTCGTGGTACACCCTGCATTATAGTATAGTAGAGTCCCGCAAACTCGGCGTAATGTGGACTGGAAAGGTGCCGAGTTTGTGAAATGCCAGGTTATCGGGAACTAGGGTTAAAAATAAGGACAGTACAATTTTTAAGCTTTTTAACCTCCTTTTTTTATATTACAAGTCAGTATTAAGTCATCAGATATAGTACAAAAAGTCCTTGGTACGAGTTGTGAATGATTTTACTTGAGCTGGCTTGAGTCCATGTTTAGCTCGACTCAAATAATCACTAATTTTCTGAGCCAGGTGATGGCCGAGTTATCCAGATTGCCGAGTTTGCGGGACTCTACTGTACTAGGCAAGAGTCAATAAAAATTCCTATTTTAATAACTTTAGTACTGTAATGTATTAATTGATGCTTTCCAAATCCATTGTAATACAGTACAGAACCTTTTATTGAAATAAAGATACAAGCAACAATTTTGTTACAAGACAGGATGTTTATAGCCTCTCACTGGAGGCTCGAGGCACAAGAACTATCTTGACCTTGGAGTTGTTAACCCCCCTTCCCTCCCTGCCTTCCAAGTTGCGTTGTTTGTTTACTCCAGCAATAAAATAATCAGTTTTAAAAGTTCAGTTCTCATCGCCCAACGTGGGAGCGGAAATGCCGAGATTCCTAGAAAGCAGCGTTTAAACCGAACTGCTCTCAAAGCAAGGTCGGTTAAAACAAACTGTATTATTTTACGATTGAAGGCGGATAATCCGATTATCGGGGTCTACTTTAGTATGTTTTTACTTATTACCAAAAAGCTAAGGAACGATCCTGACTATTACTGCAAAGTAACAGTATTTCCCATCTTTAATTTAAAATATTTGTCTGTGTTATGGGTTTTAATTTCGACAACGCTGCTTCAGCCGAGATTTGTCTGATAATGTCATTATGCTGCTGAAACGGCCGTAACCAAAGTTACAACATTTGAGCTGCTTGAGGGAGGTAAAGCCTACTTTTTAGATACGTTATAGCTCAGGGGCTAAAATAATGGATTTTGATAAATTTGTTTACCAACAAAAAAATAAATATGACAGCCTTTATTTGCTTTGTAAAGGTGTGTCAGTTCAATATTGTTTAGTTACCTTTTTTATGTTTTAGAAGGGTTTAAAAAAACAACTTCCAAAATAAAAATAGATAGAAGCACTTTTTATGGATTAATACCCATAGTAATAGCCTACTGGTATGAAAATATATTGGCCTATTTATACTTAATATTTATCTGATTTTATCATGTCTTTCTTATCGGAACCTCCAGTTTATAATAGTAAGACAAATTGCTTACTTTTATGTTTTGTAGTTTAGATGCATTTCTTGTCACTGTAGTGTTCTGTATTTTCAGTGTTGTGTGTATGTGTAGACATGATTATTTTTTATCCTCTTTAATGTGTGCTTTATTTGTCTGTACAGTAGAACCCCTCATATCCGACCATGACGGGACCGGGCCATGGTTGGAACGGCCAAAAGGTTGGATATTGGGAGGAGCATAACATGCAGTCTCCGCGACATTAGTAACCGTCTCTTGTAACCTCGGGAACACCCGTGAGCATGTCTTGCTGTCTCGGCAACATCGGTAATTGCACAGAAAACATGTTTTCTGTGGTAATTGTCGGTAATTGTCTCCCGCGACCGCGACAACACCCGCGAGCATGTCTTGCATTCTTGGTGACTTAGGTAAACATCTCCCACGACCACGGCTACACCAGCGAGCTAGTGTAAAATAAAATGCTCTCTCGACAATATATGATCGGCCTTTTGGGTAACGAAACACACTCAGAGTTATTGCCCCAGACAGGAAACAAGTAGGATAGCCTGAGTAGTCGGAAATGAGAGGTAGGATATGAGGGGTTTTACTGTATATAACACCTGTTTTTTAAATAAATTCTTATCAAACAATTTTTCTTTAATTTATCGTGAATTTGGTTTTAGCGTATGGTACTGTTAAAAAGGAAAGTAAAATTCTATAAAATAAGTTAACATAAGTTTTTGCTGTGGATCAAAAACTTAAATCAACCACTAAATAAAATAATTAAAACCTTTGAATTTCAATATAACTAGTTTAAAATAATTAATTACTAGCCGACCTGTGCAAAGCATTCACACTGAATCCTTCTCAAAACCCACTTATTGAAGTGCACGATATACTGCATTGTAAGTGAATATATTAATGAGTTCAGGAATCCTGTAGATGTGGGTTTACATTTAAGCCTTAGATAATTAACTTTTTCATAATATAAAGTTTAGTTATTTACATTTTTACATGTTTAGAGGACCTCTTTGAACTATGTTTTGAGTAATAATCTCGCCATATAAGATTTTTGTGTTGATGGTTTGTTTTTACACAGACATTTTTTTTCTCTTATGGGGCTGGGGTATCATTACCCCTTGCTACCTCAACCTAAAAGATCTTTTGTAGCACCCTTTTAGCTTAGTCACCCAACCGAAGTCTTCTTGCGAAGCCAATCAGTTGGTACACACTCATTTCTCGTATTTCAGTAGGCATCGGGAATGCCTTTCGTAGGTGTTTTAACCTCTTCTGGGCTATTGCCGGACATTCCAGCCATATGTGCTCAGCGGATTCTGTATCGTAGAGGCCTGTCTAAGACCTATTGTCTTGAGGTACTTCCTCACATAGCCATGCCCTGTAAGACCTATCAAGAGGCTTATTTCCCCTTTTTGGAGGTCGAAGATGTTTCTCCATTCCTTACTAAGAGGATTGATGAGCATCTTTGATTGTCTTAGGCCTGGGGTATTTTCCCAAACCTTTGCTTGTTGTCCCTTTGCCCAGGCTAGGATTTTTGATTGGCTTTTGCTCACTGGGACTCCGCAGCATTGTTCAGGCCCGACAAGTTCGGACTTTGCCCCTCGCCCGCCAGGACGTCAGCCCTTTCGTTGCCTTCGTGCCCAACGTGACCTGGGATCCATGCAAGTTAGACTCTATTGTGTTCGCCCAAGGCTTTGAGGGCGTTCCTGCAGCTCTGCACAACTTAAGATTCCACCACGCAGGCGTCGATTGCTTTGAGACCAGCTTGGCTGTCTGAGAGGATAAGAACCCCTCTCCTCTTCAGGCCTTTATCCAGCTGCAGTCTCGCACAATGCTCTATCGCCATGACTTCCGCCTGGAAGACAGTCGGCGTTTCACCGAGGCCTTTGATAGGTGGGTTCCAATCCCATACACTCCAAGTCCCGACCTGCCCACCCTCTGTGATCTGTCTGTGTAAAACACCATCGCCGACTTTCCTGTTTTATCCCTTACCTTCTGCCATTTCCCTCTGTCTCCTATGGCCACTTGGTAGGGTTTAGCAAAGTCGTACTTCCTAATCATAAGATCTGAGACTGACAAACCGTCATTTCCATGTCTAAGCTAGGGAGTTCACTTAGAATTGACATGTGACCGGTCCTTCTCGAAGGAGATATTTCTCCTTTACTGCAAGTCTTCAGGGCTGTTAATGCCCTTTTCTTTATATCCAGTTCAAGTGGGAGTGCGCCTAAAATTGACTCCATCACCACTGTCGGGCATGATCTTGTTGTGCCACATACCCCTCTGCAGGCAAGTCTTTGCAGTTGTTGCATCTTTGCGGCTGCCCCAGTTTGCTCTGCCTTCTGCCACCACACCAGGGCTGCGTATTCCACCATAGGCTTGACTATGTTGCCAAATGTTCTTCTGCAGGTGCCCATGGCTCCTGTTCCTTTGGCAATGACGTAATCTATGTGCCGGTTCCAAGTCAACTTCTGATCTAAGTAAACACCCAGATATTTAGTCTCCTTGACTGACTTGACCCTCACTCCCCTAATCTGGGGTGGGGACATTTTGGTTCTCCTTTTCCTCGTGAAGGTCACTATCTCAATTTTTGTGGGGTTGATTGGCAAACCTTTTGTGTTACACCAATTGTCTATGAAATCTACCACCCGCTGGGTAAGGTCCTCAATGGTACCTTTGTGTTTCCCTCTCACGGTCAGCACTAGATCATCTGCAAATGCCTGTAGGTCAATGCCTGTTTGTCCAGCTTCCCTCAGCAAGCCGTCAAGCACAAGTGACCATAGTAGGGGAGATATGACTCAGGCTGAGTTGGTTCTTTTCCTTTCTTTCGTAGGAACACCACTCTAGCTCTTCTCCATCTAGTTAGGATATATCCTAGTGCATAACTCCCCCTATACAATGCAACAAGGAGATCCACTAGAACCTCCATGCCTTCTTGCAAGAGAGCATGGAATATCCCATCTCTCCCAGGAGATTTGAAAGGGCAGAATGAGTTTACTGCCCATTTCACAACCTCTGGTTTGAATATCTTTCCCGACGCCCGTCTGGCTAGCGCCACTTCTCTAGGGGACTTCCCTGGGCAGGGCCAATTGGCTCCTTCCCCTATGGGACAGTTCTCCGGGAAGTGTACGCTTAGCATCTCCTTTAGGGTATCGCCCATGTTGGTCGTGAGATGGCCGTCTTAAGCCATTACTGTGCCCAAAGGGCTGGATTGTTCACTCTGTAGTGCTTTCTGTTTTAATAATTTGAGATTCTATTAACTTAAAATCTGATTTTTTCTGTGCATAGTTTGAACAGTCTGAGAGAATGCGACATGAGGAACGAGAGTTGAGGGAACGTGAGAAGATGAAGGAGAAGGAAGGAGACAGAAACAACCGTAGTCATCAGCTGAGACGGGAGATCTGGATACATCCTGAGGGAGGGAGGAGAGTTCACCGTACTACCAGCACATCTGCTCACACGGACTCTGACTCCGAGACAGAACTGGGCGCCCTGCCACATCTGGAGGTAGGGGAAGCTCACCTGGATAACTACCGGTTTTGATTTATTTTGAGCTTTGCAAGGCAGACTATTTAACTTTGGGTTAGGAAAAAGCAATGGCCTTTTGATCTTGAGCCAAAATAAGGATGTATTAAATTGAATTATTAATTGATGCACAGTAGAACTCCAACCCTCCAAATTAATTGGGGATTAGACCAATTCAAATATGCAGAAATTTGGATGGTTGGATACACCTTGGAGAATTAAGAAAAATCATCTTTAAGCTATACTTATAAGAAAGACAACATCTTTATCTTATTTATAAAAATAAAAACCGGATTAAATTTCACCATTTTTACACCCGTAAATTGTACATCATGGAAGAAATTATTAGCTTTAATCTGGGATCGATTAAGTGCTCTTGCTTCAGAAAATGTCATTTTATACACAATCACTCATAAAACTAAAAAAAAAACACATTTGGATTTTCACAGAAATTGCATAAATCAAACTACTCTTGGCTTTATTCAAAAAATTATTGTCTTTTTCAGTTATCAAAGAGGTTCTACATGAGTTTATGATTGTATTGGTAGATTTACTTTCACAGAAATTGCATAAATCAAACTACTCTTGGCTTTATTCAAAAAATTATTGTCTTTTTCAGTTATCAAAGAGGTTCTACATGAGTTTTATTCATGTTCACGGCAAGCTGTTTATGAAAGTTGGGTGAGTAAAATTAAATTACCAATCATTAGGCATTATGAACATTGAATAGTTTATACAATTCATTCAGTGAAATCAGTGAGCAGGAACAGTTTTCAAATCAACAGTCATACTATATTGTCATGAAGAATCCTGTAAATATATTAGGTAAAACTATATTTTAAGGATATAGCTCAACCTAAAAAGAGCAAAATGTTAAACATTGTGCTGCCATTAAATCGGTTAAAGTTAAGTAAAGCAATTAACATAGTACCAGAACAGTGGAGGCACCAAGGGTAATAGACAGAAGAGTAGTCAAGGAATCAGTTAGCTGCATGTGTAAATTGAGTAAAGAAGTGTACAGGAGAACAGGTTGTTGAAATACAGTACGTGGAAAGCTATCTGAAGTAAGTTATAAAAATTGATCAGTAAATAAGTGGAAAAGTTTGTTGATATGTTCGGTCCAGGCAAACTTGCTGTCTAACGTAATGATGTGGAATTTGGTCTGAGTCGCTTCTGTTAGATCTGCTGAATGTGCAACTCTGTCTTTTTTGTTGAGAAGTGCATTTGGGTTGTCCTGGTTGGATTAATGCTAGGACTAGACCATTTTTTCCACAATATACTATTGCATTGTTCATGGCCTTTTTTATGTTAAGAGCGAATGTTCATCTGCAGTACTGTTACTGATTAATAGGGTAGTGTTGTCTGCATAGCCTATATTACTGTAGTTGTGTTTTGGCCCCGCAGGGGGCCCACGTTTGCGTGGGTACGCGGCCTGGTGACCATGCGGACCCTAGCTTTTGCCCCCCCAGAGGGGAGGTAATTGCCCGGTGTCTGAAACCCGAAGAATGGAGAGTCTGATGAGCGACTTTGATAATTTGCTGTTAGGTACCACAAACACAAACCTTGTTTTTGCCTCACTGCCTATGCGCCACGACAAACCGAGATTAGACAACAAAATCAGTGACATAAATGATAAGCTAATTGCAAAAATGAATTGCTCAAAGGGGAACAATAAACTGCTAGAACTTCATCTTTTGCCTCGTCACCTATACACGAACCATGGTCTACACTTCAACAAGAAGGGCAAAAGGAAGATTGCTGAAGAAATTCTAAAATCACTCCAGGACTGCTGCTTCAATCCATCCACAGTCAACAAACAGAAGATGAGACTACCCTCTGACGATGACCCTGTCATTGTTGTCGAAGCAGACATGAATGCCGCAATACACAAGCTAGGAGATGAAGAAGAGGTAGCTTTTGTTCACTGTATCTCTGCTGACGTTGACAGTGACAGGCACATGAGTGCAGGTGTAGCGACAGCATTTAAAAAACATTTCAAGAAACCCTTAACAACAGATTTTGTACACTCACACCTAACTTATCAAAAAATTAACAAAGTTTCAGTATATGGATTAGTAACCAAACCTAAATATTACAGTAAACCAGACATCAGGGATTATGACAAAGCTTTCGATACTCTGGAACAGGACGTAAGACAGAAAGGCCAAAAGTTAATAGTTTGTTCACCAGCGGGCTGTGTCAGGGATAATGTTCCTGTCGAGCACATGGTAACCAGAATATGCCAGCTGCAACAAAGGACAAATGCCAAAGTGATCATAGTAGTGAATGATGAGAACTCTACCAGAACTCTCCGAAGTGGGCTTTCTTACAATGATTTTGTAAATAAAATAAAACTTAACATCTTTAATGCCATGAACAAAACCGATGAGTCAGGAAGTGGTGCTTCAGCAGACATCACGGTCAACACAACTGAAGGTGGGACAACAACCTCTACTGACAAAATGTCTTTTGATAAAAGTAGTACCTGTAGTGTAGATACTAATGTAAATAGTAGTGATCTTCAAAAAAACTTAACGTCAGCAACCCAAGTGTATGTAACTTAGCTTTAGATAAGCGTGTAAATAAGCCAAAACAATTAAAAAATGTAAAGTTTAATGTAAAATATAAAAAAAATATTCTAAAAAAATGTTTGTTAACTCACTTAAATATTCAGGGATCAAGTTTAAGTAAATTTGTTGTCTTGAAAGTTACTTTAGATCATTTAAAACTTGAACCAGAAATTGTTTGTTTGTCAGAACATTGGATGGATACAAATGATGTTCACTTGCCTAACTGTTTTTCCTCCTATAAGCTAGCCTCAGTTTACCACAGAAGTGTAAAAAGTAGGGGAGGGGTATGTATTTTTGCAAAAAATAATATCACTTTTAAAGAAAGGAAATATATTGATTCTATGGCAATTGAAGAAGCTTTTGAATGCACTGCTATTGAAACAATGAGTAATGAAAAGTCAACCAAAACAATATACATTGTAATTTACAGGACTCCGAATGACCAAAACCTAAAGATTTTTTTCTCAAGCTTTGAAAAACTATTACAGCACCTTGAGGCAGAACAACATTTGTGTCCAATATACATAAGTGGGGATTTTAATATAGACATGCAAATTGATGATGAAAAATGTGTTAGGTTTAAAACTTTGTTTCAGTCTTTTGGGTACAATGCCATGATCAAGGAGTATACTCGAATAACACCAACTACAGCCACTTGTATTGATAATGTAATTTCAAATGTAAATAGTATTGATAAGATTTGTGAAGTAGTGGACTTTGGGATATCTGACCACTTAGGTCAGGTAATTTGTCAAAGAAATGAAATAAGGCCTAACCAATGTAAAAAATACTTGTCGAAGCGGGTCATAAAGAAGGAAAACGTTCTTGGTATGTTAAACGGTCTGATTGAAGAGAACTGGACTAATTGCATGTCAAACCTTAGTTCTAATGGTAGTTTCAATAATTTCTTTGGAATATTCTATGATTCTTTTTTGAATAATTGCCCAATTAAACAGAAATCTCTGTCAACAAATGGGAGAAATAATCAATGGGTAACAAAAGGTATTAGAATATCCAGTAAAAGAAAATGGGAGCTTTATAAAATTTCTAGAAATAATACAAATCCTGTTTTCTTAGAATACTTTAAAAATTACAAGAAGGTTTTTAAGAAAGTAATTTGGGCAGCCAAAATGAGGTACAACTTAAATTTGTTAGAGAATAGTGATAATGTAGGTAAAACAACATGGAGCATTGTAAAGAGAGAAATCGGTACAAATTGTAAAACAGAACCTTGTCTAGGAATCAAAATTAATGGGGAGGTTATTGACGATCCTATAAAAGTAGCTGATTGCATGAACCATCACTTCATTGGTGTAGCAAATAAGTTTCAGTCCCAGGTTTCGGTGGCAGATTCAATAGCCAAAGCAAAAATGGCAACTCTAAATGTCCCACATGCATTTGAATTTAAGATTGTCTCTGAATCCGATGTTATCTCCTGCATCAATCGATTAAAGAATAAAAGTTCAACTGGCTGGGATGAAATTCCTACAAATGTAATAAAATCATTGGCTTCTTCAATTATAAAACCACTCACTCATTCTATCAACATTTCACTGCTGACAGGAGTCTTCCCCGACAAATTGAAGTATGCTCAAATTATACCTATATTTAAAAAGGGGGACTCGGAAGAAATTTCAAACTACCGACCAGTGGCTCTCTTACCTGTGTTTTCAAAAATATTTGAAGAGGTTGTTCTCTCACAAATTGTTCCATTTCTTGAATCAAACAATTTATTGAACAAGAATCAATTTGGTTTTCGGAGGGAGAGAAGCACGTCTGATGCAATAGTCAATCTAGTTTCTGAGGCAGTGGAGGCCTTGGACGGATCGCAGAGAACCTTTGGTGTTTTCTGTGATTTGTCTAAGGCCTTTGATTGTGTCAGGCATGACATTCTCTTGGAGAAATTGAGATTGTATGGGATATCTGGATCATCTTTTTCATGGTTTTCTAGTTACATCACTAACAGATATCAGCAGGTTGTCATCAAAGATAAATCCGGTGTAAAACATTTTTCTGAATGGAGCTCAGTAACCCATGGTGTTCCGCAGGGATCTAAATTGGGGCCTCTTCTGTTCATCCTCTACATCAATGACTTGTCTTTTTCAATTTCTTCCAAAATTATTCAATTCGCTGATGACACAACAATGCTAGTAAGAGCACCTTCTATTTTTTCTGCAACTAACATTGCATCCCGAGATTTAGATTCCATGATAACTTGGTTTGCACAAAACGGACTACATCTAAACTGTTCCAAAACTCATCTTCTTCATTTCCATAATCCACAACTGAAGGCAGGTGAGATAACAATCAAACTAAAATCAGGTGATTCCATAAAATCTTCTGCAAATACTAAATTCCTGGGTGTAAACATAAATGAAAATCTAAAATGGTCTGATCATCAAATACAAATTAGCTTGTCTCTAGCAAAAGCACTGTTTGGTCTAAGGGTGGTTTATAAGTCTTCGGGTTTGCATGCAGCTCTTGCTGTGTATCATTCTTATTTTATGTCTAGGTCTTCCTATGGTATTATCTCATGGGGCAGCTCCCCCATTACCAAGAATATTTTTATCTTACAAAAAATTGCCGTTAGAATTTTAGCTGATACCAGACCACGTTCCTCTTGCCGCCCCCTTTTTATTCAGATGAAACTCTTGACAATTTATGCAGTTTATATTTTTCAACTGTGCATCTTTGTAAAAAGAAATTATAAGGAATTTATGTTGAAAAATTACACTCATCAATATAACACCCGACACAGGAATGATCTTCAATATCCTGTGCATAGAACAGCTCTGTATGAAGGATCGCCATGGTACATGGGTAGGAAAATTTACAATAACCTCCCAGATCAAATTAAAACTGAAGAAAATATGTCATCCTTTAAAAGAAAACTAAAATCTTATCTCATTCTCTTGTGTCCTTATTCCCTAGATGATTTTATAAAAACTTAGCTTTAGGTTTTATGGATTGATAAAAACAAAGAATTTAGCATAAGGTATTATTAGATTGTAAAGTGGTATTGACATGTCATATGTTTATATGTGAAAATCACAATCTTGTAAACTTATGTGACGAATAAACATTTCATTTCATTTCATTTCATTTCTGAAC